GCGCTCAGCGCCTGCTCCCCGCGCCCTTCCCGGGCCGCGCTCGCTCCTCCCGCCGCCCTCCCCCGCCCGGGCCATTCGCCTCACAGTAGCAAGGTTGTCTCCCGTCTACTCCCTTCCCTTAAACTCACCAAACCAGATTTTTACTCTCAACACCGGCAACTTCCCGTAAATCTGCACTGAAATTTTATCCTGCTCGCTGAGCCTCCACTGGCTTAGGGCCAGTGCAACATTCCTGTTCTTTTAGGAGCCGAGATACCTTTGCTGAAGGTTAAAAAAATAAATCTGCCTGGATGGGAGAGATTCGGGGACTCCGCCGCACGGGCTTCTCTCCCCGCTCAAAAAGGCGCTTCCATTTCAGACAACCAGACGTGACCCCAGCAGTGACACCTGCTCCACCTGAGGTCACCGGTCCCCTTCGGGCTGTTCGGAGAAACCAAGCAGGACCGTGTTTGGGGGATCAGCAGCCAGCTGTTGAATCCCGAGCCGATCAGCGCCACCCCACCCCCGGCCCGGCCCCCAGTGCGGACGCCGTGGAAGCAGGTAGGGTCGGGCGGGCGCCGCGGCGACCCGACGGGACCGGGGACCTCCCGGAGCGTCCTTACCTGGAGCGGGCACCGCCGGGACCAGCGCAGGAAGGAGCGTCACGCGGACGGAGGCCTGACCTTTGCGGGGGCCTTCGCAGCAGGGCCTGGGGCCTGGGTGAAGCTTGCTCAGAAGTGGCTGAATTTAACGCGCTGTGCCCTAAAGTTACAGCTGATTTCTAGAAAGGGAACCAAAAAAAACAACAACAAAAAAAAACAAACAAAAAAACAAAACTGAATTTAAAAACTGCAGCCAAGCCCTCCCTTAGCCTTTCCTGATCTCTGGGGAGCTGGATCTAACTCCTACCCCCATTCTCATCCAAAAGCAGCCCGCAACCTGAGCCCCACCCCTGCGCGTTACCTGTTTACACAAGAGTTAAGGAGCCTCCCGCATTTCTATGGAGCGCTCGGCTGGTTCGCAGGCGCGCGGTCGGCCAACAGGAATCGGATTCGGTGACTAAACAAACTAGAAGAGGAAGCAGGCACCACCAGCAACCTAAAGCGGAGTTCTCATTTCGGGTTGCCGTGTCATTGAACTGAGGGGAAAAAAATGCTGTTTCTCTTTGGGCTACTTTTAGTGAAGGACTATTTCAAAAAATGTCTTTTGGGGGTTAAATGAGTTAATACATACAAAGAGCTTGGAACAAGTGCATGACACATAGCATTAGCTGTCATTATTATTAATAATAATTATTTGTAGTATGGCATTGTTTCTGAAGACGAGAGGGTGTGATCAGAGTTAGAAGTGGGCTCTAGATTCACCAGTAGTAAGGCCATGAGTAATTTTTTTAAAAATATCTCCCAGCCTCGGTTTCTGGAAGATCCCAATGATGAGATTATTTTACTAACAGTTTACATTGGGGAAAAAAGCTCATGTAAAGGAGTGTCCGACTGATTTTCATCTCACTTAAAAATTTCAAGATGGACAAGATATGTGGAGATAAATTGGCCTCTACATTCCATGAAGCTCACTAATAAGAGGGGAAACTCTGGACCTAGCAATCAACCCTCCTTGTGTGCTCCATTCTAATGTGGATTTAGGCATTTGATTTGCTGTCTGACCCTGGGAGGGTTCCTTAGCCTAGTCAATTAGAAGCTGATGCTAGACAAAGAATGGTCATTGACATTTGAAAAGCAGTGTGAAAGAGGGGGAAATAATTTTTAAACTCCTCATGAATATTAAAAAGTGATTATTGAAGGCTAAAACGTGATCAGTGCCGACAGAACTCCCTTTTCCCTCCACTTGGCTTCACTCTTATTAAAGAAGTAATTCCTTTACATCAGTGAGGCCCTTTGTACTTGACCAAGCACGTTCAACCACCTCATCTGATCTGATCCTACAAATGAATCCTAAAAGCTACTTTATACCCTTTTTGCAGATTAAGAGACTGAGGTCAATTAGCTCAAGGTTTCATTTCATAGTGTGGAGGAGACAAGTTCAATGTTCTAGTTAAATATAAAATCAGCATTTGCCACCTTTAGGGGAAGGGATTCCTTAAAACTAGCAAAGAAGTCGGAAACATTTTCAGTCCCTTTGATTATTTATTTATTGTTAATCCTCACCTAAGGATATTTTTTCCATTGACTTTTAGAGAGAGTAGAAAGGAGGGAGGGAG